TTATCTTCCTTTGGTCAGTCCGCCACTCTATAATGGAGGTTGGCCATTTTCGCTAAAAGAACTAACATCAAAGAGCGGAGGAATTTAGGTACTTTCCCTTATCTGACACGTCGAGCAGTACATAAATAACTACGGAGTGCTCAGACTTCGTCCTTATTTACAAAGTGCGGGATCGGCGGCTGGCCGGCTGGTCGGCTGCCGAAAATCAACCTTGGCCAGCGAAGCGCTGCGAGTTTTCAACTACCTATTCAGCTGCGGCCGGGTCAGGACTGGCCGGTCATTCCGTGATCGGCCAGCCAAGGTCGCAGCCCAGCGGCCGGCTTCGACCGGAAGCGATGGTCAGAGTATCACAGCCAGTACGTCGAGTGTTTTATTGTTTCAAATGTTAAAGCAGTGTGATTAATTTCGCTTAAATCAGGGCAAACGTAGATATCGAACACAAGGTGCATGCAATCCACTTTTGTCCTTGTACTCAAGAAAAACTCCCGTATGATATGAGTGTTGGAGAACTGCGTTAGAAATTCAGAAGACGACCTCTGCCCTCGGTCAGAACCTCGGCCCAGCGCAACTCGCCTCAACCCAGATCACCTCTGCCCGGCTCATCTCATCTCGGCCCGGCTCACCTCGATCCGGCTCATCCCGCCTCTGCCCGGCTTACCTCACCTCGGCCCGGCCCACCTCACCTCGGCCCGGCTCACCTCACTCTGGCCCGGTTCATCTCACCTCCGCACGGTCCACCTCACTGCGGCCCGGCTCGTCTCACCTCGGCCCAGCTCACCTCGGCCCGGCTCACCTCACCTCGGCCCGGCTCACCTCGGCCCGGCTCACCTCACGTCAGCTCGGCTCACCTCAGCTCGGCCCGGCTCACCTCACCTCGGCCCGGTCCACCTCACCTCGGGCCGGCTCACCTCACCTCGGCCCGGCTCACCTCAGCCTGGCCCACCTCACCTCGGCCGGCTCACCTCGCCTCGTGGCGTGGTGGCGTGGCAAACCTAGCTAATCCGCCATGCGGTCAGCTGTTGGCTCGCACGACGTGCCACCTAGTGTGCGTATGACAAGTCACTTGTTTGTTGTCACGCCATTACGGTACGGGTCGCTGTAATAATCCACCCTGCGGTCATCCGAATAAGAAATCCCGGACGGTCTGTGGTCTGTCGTCGCTGATGGAGTTGCTGTGTCGATAATTCTTATCTTAGTCTGTATTGAAAAAACAGGAAACGTGTCACATAAAGCCGTAAATGCTCATGATATATGTTGTTCGCATGACTGACATCCCTACCAAAGGCCATAATCAATGATGGTGCCATGTGTACCGCGGTTCAACGGGGCTTCCCTCGGAGCCGACAGCAAACAATTCTGACGTACTATACAGGCGATGGGCACGATGCATTCAACAGTGAGTTGGGGCTTTACGGCGCACTCCATTGTTAAGGTCATGTGGCGACGACTGCTTCTCACACGGGCCGGAAGGGTCGCTCACCGAGGGAAATGGAACTTTCTAAAATTCACAAGTTACGGAAACCAACTGTTACCCGGGTACGGGGTGCTTGAGGTGAAGCTGCCCCTTCAGCTGCCCTGTCCCTGTAGAGCATGGTGTGATCAGCACACCGAAACACCAAACAACACCCAGGTATCAAAACAACAAACAGCTCTCAGCACTAAAATACACAGGTCGACACCACCACCAGCGCAACGACTCACCCCACTTTTCTAATCAAACGACGTTGTTACGCGGAGGCTGATAATGGCCTGTCCTGCTCACCTTCACCACAGAAATACTGCTGATTTGGAAGTCAACACAAGACATGGGTGAAACTGTGCTGTTTATTTTCAGATGCAGCTGCATTATTAATAACAAAACATAAAGGAAGTCACTACTGTGCACATCACGGGACATCAACGCTGGGACTACAGCAATGCATACAATGAAAGGCTGAAAGCACGGAATTTGCATCCACAACAGTCTTTGGTTGGTTTCGCTATGATATTCATGATGTTGTGACGGCTCCTACCTGTCGTGCTCTGTTAGTTCTAAGATATCACACAAGTCGAAAATTACTACGTTGCGTATGTGAAACAGTCCACCCGAAACTTTACCGACGACGCTGAGACACACAAGGCGACGTGCAAATTATGCGCTAACTGGACATCGCAGCCGCCACGAGGAAAATGACTCGCGTCATATTTACCGAGCTATCACACGTTTCAAGGTATTCCTTCCGTCTGGCTGCCAATTCCTGCCAAGTAGCCCCGACGTCAAAAATAAAAATATATGACTTAAACTTTCCCGTACTGGGAAGTTTATTTAATCATTAGCGAAATCTCGTTTTTTAGGAAGCTTCTTTCCCCAAATGCATATCCATAGATATAAGAAAGCTATTTCCATGATATCTAAATCTTCAAATGTGGGACATTTCCTTTAAAGGCAATACAATAGTTACTAGCCAGCTTTTTATTATATCTGATACTTGCCTTCACTTTTTCAAATGTGTAATATTTCGTTTAACCAGAACGACGTATTATATTGCAAGTCATATACTCAGCATAATATATTTTTAAACTCATAATAGTAATAAAAAACCCAGTCTGGCAATTTGTGCCCTAAAATTGAGGCCTCTCTGGCTTGGTACTCGTCTAGACAGGCACGAAATACAAGGGAACTGGCAATGTCCCCCTCCACGTGAGAGAAGAGCTTTTCTAAATATTGAGTGAATTAGCTGGAATTAGATTTTGGTCACACGCCTACGCATAGACACGGCGCAATTTCAGATAGATTAGCCGAGCTGTTGCATATTTTCCTTTGAAATTAAACTCATGTGCAGGCATGACGTGCTCACGTCCATGTGAATAACCTGCATTCAAAATACAAATGCATGTGCTCAAATTCAAAGTTTCTCAGCACAGCCATCTGAATGGACCAAACCTCTTTCATCCTGGCTCCTCTTCAGGCTCTGGGGAGGCCCGTAGAGCCGGCGTGTGTCCGCGGCGGCTGTGTTTAGGGACGCGCACGGTGGCAGGATCGCGTGAAGGTCGCGGCGACTCTGACACTGGATCAAGACACGCCTCTGACAGGGAGACACGGCGCCGTAATGGGAGCCGTACCGCCAGCTGGGCGGCTGGTCAGTCTCGACCCGGGCTCGGCGCCAGGCCGTGCCTGCGGGGCTCGGTGCCGGGGCTGACACCGTGGTCTGCAGGGCTCGGCACTGGGGCTGACAACGTGGTCTGTGGGGCTCGGCGCCGGGGCTGACACCATGGTCTGCGAGGCTCAGCGCCGGGGCTGACACTGTGGCCTGCGGGGCTCGGCGCCGGGGCTGACACTGTGGGCCGCGGGGATCGGCGCCGGGGCTGACACTGTGGCCTGCGGGGATCGGCGTCGGGGATGACAATGTGGCCTGTGAGGATCGGCACCTGAACTGACACCATGGTCTGCGGGGCTCGGCGCCGGGGATGACACCGTGGTCTGCGGGGATCGGCGCCGGGGATGACACCGTGGCTTGCGGGGTCGGCGCCAGGCATGATTCCGTGTTCTGCGGGGGCTCAGCGCCAGGGCTGACACCGTGGCCCGCGGGGCTCGGCGCCGGGGCTGACACCGTGGTCTGCGGGGGCTCGGCGCCGGGGCTGACACCGTGGCCTGCGGGGCTCGGCGCCGGGGCTGACACTGTGGCCTGCGGGGCTCGGCGCCGGAGCGGCGGACACCGTGGCTATCCGCGGCGGTGGGCGGGCTGACCCGTTGACTTGCCACTGGCTGTGAGCTGAGCCGACTCCATGAACCGCCAACTGCTGGTGGCGGCTTGGGCTGATTCTGTGACCTGCCGGTAGCTGTTACGCGGGGCTGACCTTGAGCTGTTGGGGCAGTGGGAGGGGCATTCTGCTTCGCGGACGCAGCCCGAGCGTGACCCACAATTCAAAGTGAACCCAGACAGGTGGGCAAAGGAAATATAAAAGAATACTAAAAAATACATTTTGCACGACAAAATTTGATGAGGAAACATTGCAAATTTGCATGCACTGTCTTCAACGACATTTTGTTCGATTGAAATCATACCACGCAAAGGTCAGGATACAGTTGACCAACGAGGGTCAATCCAGGTTTGGGGCAGCCGTACCGCAGTATTGTGCGGCACGAGAAACACTCCGCATTCCTGTCTGGCGGAAGGGTGGAGGTAAAGCCATCCGCTGAACTGGACAGCACCACCTGCCTGGGGGGGGGGGGGGGGGGGTTCAGGGTACACCCAACAATCGGTCTCCGGCGCTAACAACCACGCACGAGTCGCAGGCTCCCAGCGTCGAGTGTCTCTGATCTATAAGTGTCTGCTGTCGTCTGATGTCTCCAGCCATGATGTCTGCGCGAGGAGTCACGCGCACACACTGCTGTTTAGGAATTCCGATTAAACGTGGGATGAATGTGAACACGTTTTCAGCACATGTGTCATGACGAAATCACCCGGCTTTCACCACGGTGAAATAGATGTGCAGTGCCTCGGTCGAAGGTAGTTACTATCAAAAAGAGACAGGAAGAAATCAGTCAGTGCATTAGTCATTGCTCTTTGTATAGCCTCGCCCATTTGCACCTGTGAGACGTTTCCTTGAGGGAAAGGAAATAGGGAGCGAAGAGGGTGTTGTTTCTACAGAGTGATGGGGTTTTAGTGGTTAGGATGCTCGGCTCTGTACAGCCATGGGTCCGAGTCCATGGCACGCCACTAGTGCGTTCCACATGATATACGTACCATAGTAATCCCATCCAGAAATAGCCCTGGCAGTCGATGAGACGTAAAGCCTTTCATTTTCTTTTTTTGAAAAGAAGAGGAGCGTGTAGCTGTGTTCATGATATCAAAAGAGACACTGAACACATCTATCCGAAGTGGTTTGCTACGATATTTCCCCGAAGCTCGGTGTCGATCTATCTGACACCTCCAGTGTTTTCAGCGTCGTCGTCGTCAGTGTCAGTGTCCGTGTATCAGCGCTGTCGACTGGACGTGACGGCCGCGTCCTATCTTCAGGGGCTGACCGTGAGCGCCATGACGGCGACGCCAGCCAACGACAGCGGCTTCCCCATGGCGGCCATGCGCTCTGGCTACGATCTGCCGGTGTACGGCTTGGACGACGGCAACTTCTACAATCTTCACGTGGTAGCGCTGGGGATCATCGCCTGCAGCCTCGCCTGCGCCGTCACCGTCGTCGTCTGGAGCTTCCGCACGCACAACACCAAGTTCTTCACCTGGTCGCAAGGTAAGCGCGGCGTCAAAGAGCTGTGATAAAGACATGAAGTTTCCTGTCATCAGATGACTATCAGGGCATATCACATTGACAAACTTGTTCAATTTACGGTTATAATTAGAAAGTAGTCGAAAACCAACTGAAAAGAGTACATGAAAGCGTTATTCAGATCTTGACGTGCCCCAGTGTCTGTGACTGCGCCGTCACCTTATCAGTTGTCTATTCCTCACCTATATGAATATTTGATGACATGCTCGCCGACGACCGACGTCGGATGGAAGACGCCAGAGCCGTTATTGCGGACGGCGCGACGAAGGCGGTCCCTTGGGCGGTGTGACGAGCTCAAAGGCGGCCTCGCCCAGGGGCGTCGGCGGTCCCCTGGGCGGCGTGACGAGCTCAGAGGCGGCCTCGCCCAGGGGCGTCGGCGGTCCCCTGGGCGGCGTGACGAGCTCAGAGGCGGCCTCGCCCAGGGCTTCGGTGGTTCCCCGATGCGGCGTGACAAGCTCCGAGGCGGTCAAGCTTCGGCCTGTCCGGCCCTGGGTGAGCTTCGCCGGTGACGAGCCCAACCAGCTCAGTATTGCCCTGTCCGGCCCTGGGCGAGCTTCGCCGCTGAGGAACCCAATCAGCACAGTCTGGGCCTGTCCGGCCCTGGGCGAGCTTTGACGGTGAAGAACCCAATCAGCACAGTCTGGACCTGTCCGGCGCTGGGCGAGCTTTGCCGGTGAGGAACCCAATCAGCACAGTCTGGGCTTGTCCGGCCCTGGGCGAGCTTTGCCAGTGAGGAATCTTATCAGCACAGTCGGACGTCAGCCTCGATCGGCGCCGACAGAGGTCGATGGATAGTGCGGCCGCGTGGGGACGGGCCCGCCGGGCGCCGCACACACACCGCTGCGGTGGCGAGAGATGTCGATGTTTGGCCGTACAAAAGCCTTAAGTTAATCCGCGATGATGCGAACGGTTGTTGCGAATTTTAAGTGAACTTGTGATGCGAAGTGCAGGTAGTCTTTTGTTCAGCCTCATTAATTATGTCCAGCTTCATCAATCATGTTCAGCCTCAATGCTTTCAAATTTGTCACAAGGGACGATGTTTTGTTGGAGCAATCGGTTTGGACACGTGATTCCTGAATTTTGGGATGACTAATTCACACTCATGATGATATCGTAGGGACTTTTCTTTTGATTTCACGTTATCCCTGGATCAGTTGTTTTCGGGCGTCCAACATCACAGGTTCGTATTCGTGTTCACAATCATATTCATATTTCTAGGGCGTGTTCGACATTTGTGTGGGGTTTTCTACTAGAATATGCATCTTGAAGACCATGCGGTGCAGTTCAGAGCCCAACCCTTTTTAAGACCTAAACCCCTCTAGCTTCTGAGCTACCAAGCCCCAAAAGATGTGCAGGCTCTTTCAGGAAGACTATGGCAAGGTCCCCAAGGCATCCATGACGCCGAAATGACGTCTTTAAAATCTCGTCATTTATTTACCCATGCGGCGATCAAGCTAAGAAACACATAGTTGTCTCGCCGTTCATATCTGGCGTTGTTAAACACGATTTCCAAATAAAACGGCAGTCCATTGGCTCTAAATCAATGTGTTGCAAGGTATCGTTATCGTAATCAAACGTAATCAAACAATAACGTATTGCCGAACATATTAATTAAACAGAGACGTCGTGTTGGCTAGAGCAGTCTTTTTCACGGAACAGTTTACCGGTAGATAAAAGTGACCTGATTTCCTCGTGCATATATATATATATATATATATATATATATGTAATATTTGCTTCAATATCTTCAGCTGTGAAATATACCCTTTCATGGGAATGTCTCGCACCTTGCACAATATTGATTGAGAGCCAGTTGACGGCCGTTAAATCTGGAAATCTTTCTCACGAACGCTAGATGTAACCGCCTTAGCATCTATTTTTATTGGTTCCGATCGCCATATGGTCTATGGAATGACACGACCTTAAATGTTATCATGACGTCATGGAGGCTAAGATTATTCTGGAACACTTCCTCCGAAAGTCTCTCCTCATTTCCTTGAGCGTTAAGCTAAAAAATTAAAGGGGCTTAGGTCTTAGGGAGGGCAATGTTGTGAACAGCACCAAGTGGTCTTTGAGATGGGTTTTCCAGTTCTAAACCTGGTATAAATGTGGAACACTCACTTTAAGTACGGTCGTATTGATTTTCATATTTACATTCGAATACGGACACCTGCAAGTTTGATCAGATTTATATCAACAGTAGTGCTCGACATGCTGATTATGATGGTTGTTTGTCGTGTCCGCCAAATTGAGAACTAAGACATGGAGGTTTACGAAGTTCAATGTTGCTGAACGCGATCTCTAGGATTTTTCTTAACCCATATAACTGATAGAACTTGATAAGCTGATTATAACGGTGCATCTGGTTTGGAGCCGGATTTTAAAAATAAAAATATGAACGCAATATTTTACGCCGGAGATCTACGAAGCCCGAGGTCGGGGCATCCGGGCCCCGTAAATACGACTTTGTGAAACCCAGATTAACTGTAGTGCTTGTCACGCTGATTTCGATGGTGCGCCTCGTTTCAAGCCCCATTCAAAATCATTACCTCCAGAGATCGTCAGAGAAGTACGCGGTCGTCGAGCCCGGAAGCCCACCATGTAACTCAACTTTATACCACTAGTAGTGTAAAACATACTGGTTAGGTTAATGCATCTGGATATCAATGACATAGTTTGGCCTGTTGATTTCGATGGTGCACCTTGTTTTCAGCCACATTCAAAAGTATGATACCTAGAAATGTTCAAAACATGTAGCCAATTAGCTGGACTGGGCTCCTACGTCGTTTTGCGCCACATTCAAGCTTATGACCTCTTAAAGAATTTCAAAGTGTAGCCATTGAGCCCGAACTCGCACGACGTCCCTCAAGTTCACGTCGCTAGTGGTGTTAAACGTGCTGATTACAATAGTGCATCTCTTTTTACGCCACATATGCAAACATGACCGCCATTGGTCGACTGAGTTGAAGATCGTTGAAGACGCACGTCTACGATTTTTCAGAAACTCATAACAACGAGTTTGACGTGCTGGTTAGAATGCTGTATATTGTTTCACGCTACATTAAAAATATGGCCCTCAGAGACATATGAAGTTAGGAGTCATCGAACATGGGCCCGTACGATTTTTCGAACACATATCAACGATAAAGTGTGATGCATTTTTTGACAATTAAAGGGAACATCCCGCATTTGAAGATATTGAGATAAGCATCAGATATGATGGGAAAAGCTTGCTTGCTGAATTGTTGACTTATCCTTACCTGCAGTGCTGTAGTCCGGACATTGATGTCATGTGATGTGCGCAGTAGTTACTTCACTTATTTTTTGTAAGTGGATGTCTAGTTGCATGCAAGCGTTAATAAATCTGCAATATTGCAATGAATTGATTGGCAAAAACATTGCTATTTCCTTGGTAAAGAGGGTAAGGTGGAGATACAAAGAATGTTTTTCTTGTTTAGGGTTATGTATGCAATTACTAGCAGGCCCTGATATAACCATTGTGGTGCAACAGCACTCTCCTGGTGATAGTCCTTTAGCGTTGTGGAATGAGTTGTTCCGTCATTCACAGATTATAAGCTGTTTGACACAGAGTAGTCAATCAATGTGGTACATTGTGTATGGCACCGGTCAACAGTGTAATCATGGCACTACCTCAGTGCTGTACTGTGACATGACATAATGAATAATGATATGGTTTTGTACTGCAATCATATTAAGGAAAGCACACAACCAATACGTGACGTCGCTTGCTCAGCCTGTTTTGGGAATCCACAAACATAGGCGACAAAGATGCAAACACATCTTCTGCTTCCCCATCCATGCAACATGCTCGGCCATCAGGCTGCTTAACTCAAAAATATTGTTTACACAAGTAATAATGCATGCATAGCAATACAATATCGCATGAAGTGGAATGATACTGCACATCTCCTGACCTTGCACAATGCTAGAGGCATGACAAGTGCACTATAGGTGTGGTTGGATAGAAGAAATGCAAGAAAGTGTTGAAGCTGCCGGTGCACATAATGCTCATGATAAAAATATTATTAAATGCTATCAAAGACACCAACAGCAATACCTCTCCATCTTTCTCAGCACCCAGCATCTCACACAAGTAGCAGTGACAATGACAATAATGACTCACGAGCAATGCTTGCCTGCATACCATTTTTTAAGACATCCTATGACGCATCCACAATAATACAGCACTATATTTTAGAATTCTTAGGTGAAAGACAATTTTGTAAAGCTGTAGCATGCAAACCTATACCAAGCATGTGCATCAATGAGATGTACCAACCCATCCCTACTGCCTACATGAATTGCTTATAATGGCATGCGATGGATTAATTGCATGCTGCAATACCTCAACAGGTTCAAAATGTTGGCAAGATCGTAATGAAGTAACAAATTGCCTTTTAAACACCCCTGCAGCATGGGTGTTAGTGTTATTTCAGGTGCCGACATCACTACCCTTGTCATGCTCAAACACAAACCTAAAGATAGAGGCAGGTATCATATATCACATTTCATCGGGAATCATTATATTTTAAGAATACCAACACAATGTTCTCTCCCAGAACTGCAAACCTCGCACGCACTCTCCCCATCACATCAAGATCAATACAAGCCCTGGCACGCACCACCAATGATCACACCCCTTTCAAGCACTTGATTCACATTCTGTCAAATAAGTGTGATCCCACACTTGCACAACCCGCGGGACTATCCAATCGCAGGTTTTTTGCAATTTCCGCACAGGTTTTCGGTTACAACACCACATTTCACCGTGAGCTTGCTTCAAAACAAAGTCTTAACTGCAGCGCATGGAAATACGAATCAACGGATTTTATTTTTAGGACAATTTTTTGTTTGTTCAAGATTTAAATTTCTCTTACAATGTGTGTTAAATATATATATATATATATATATATATATATATATATATATATATATGAAATCAC